GTTGTCTCCAGGTGTGAGCGTTAGGGTGTTAGTACCCCTGGCCAGGATAGTGCAGCAGCGACAGTACCACTACAGCCTGCCCACAGAGGGGATGGGGAGCCCTGCTGTGCAGCCCCCAGGCAACGGAGGGAAGTTCTCAAGAGCAGGGCACAATCAGCTCTGACAGGGACTGAGTCAAAACCCTGAGCTGTACCAGGCACGGAGACCTGCTACACCTCAGCAGCTGCAGGGTCCAGGTACCTTGTCCCCCACATCACTAGGGACAAGGCTGAGCCCACAAGCAGGCATGCAGCAGCACAGTGGGGGCTGAAGACCAGGCCCCCAACAGCGATGACCATGTTGGAACTGGACCTTGCTGGAGAAAGGTGAGTGCCTGGAGGAGCACTGCAAGAGTCTGGGGGCTCAGCACACCCTGCCTGCCCTCAGGATAGCAGCATCCAACCCAGTCTAGCTACGGAGTGGTGCAGAGCCCCCCTGATGACTGTTGTAGCAGAGCACAGACAGCAGCAGGGTGAGTGGGTGCTGGCAACAGAGCATGCACCACAGCTGGGGTGTTCCAAGGTCTCAGCCCATGTGGGTTGTGTGCTGGGGGTGCCCTCACTGCCCTGCTGTTCTCAGGCCTGGGTAGGGCGTGCAAGAGCTACAAGCACTTGGATAAGTGCGAGCACCAGATTGTACCCAGTGAGGTGAAGTACCAGCTGCACAACACGGACACCCAGATGCTCTTCCACTGCGAATGCACTCACAGGTGTGTCTCCAGGAGGAAAAGGCAGGGCTCTTCCCACCCTGGCACTATGTGCAGATAGTCTGGGGTCAGGCAAGGTGGGATATCCAACCTGGCCAGCAGCTACTGACTGCTGCCCTGCTGTGCCTGCAGGTTGGCATGCTTCCTGCACAGGATGAGGGACCTCAGTGACATGGTGGTGGCTGTCCTGGCAGACCGCATTGCCACAGACTGCTTTGTTCTGGAGCCACCCACTGCCTGCAGCCTGTATGAGGGCTCACAGCACAAGTAAGTGTGGAGGGTCACAGGAACATAGCCTGCAGGGACAGCAGGGATGTCCTGGCAGGGCTGGGTGCTGTCCTGCAGGCTTGGTGTGAAGCTGGCATTGTAAGCCTTACCTTCTGCTGTGCCATGAGTTAAGGCTGGGGTGGAGAGGAATGGATATCAGTGCACACTGATGCTTCTTCAACACCTGCATTGCAACAATCCCGGCTGTGCTAGTACCTGCACGGCATCTCAAAAAGTCCCTGAGGCGCTGGGGTTCTTTGCTTGTGAACTCCAGGGCCAACATACAAACTGGAAGACACAGGACAGTGGTGGCACTCTCTACGAGCAATGCCTTCAGATGGCCTTGGAGCAGAAGCCTCATGCTCAGCCTGACACTGCCCTGATGATGCCCAAGAAGCACTGCTTCCCGTGGGGAGGAAGATGTCCTGTGCTGCAGCCATAAGGTGGAGCTGCTCAATTTCTGGTTCTTGAGACAAAGGATGGCACCAAGTGTGACTGCATGGAGCTTGGGGGGCCACAGCTGGAGCAGGTGCAAGGAGAGGGACAGATAAGCCTCTCGAAATGGGGTGTGTGTGGGTGTGTGTGTGTGTATCCAACAGTAGCTGCCTTCCATAAATATCAAAGCAGGGGGAAGAGGGCATGGGGGACAGCACTGCTCCCACCCTGGGTTTGTGCCTCTTCAGCTGGGAAGGTTGAGCACTGTGGTGTGATCCAACCTCCTTCCCCAGCACCGGTGGGCAGGGCTGGCTCTAGGGAAGGGGTCAGTCCCTGTGTGCAGAAGATGAATAAAGGATGGTAAGTGTGGTGTGTGGTGTGTGGTGCCATGGCCAAGCCCTCTGCCTCCTCCACATGCTGTGGTCCCCACAGCAAGAGCCGATCCCGCCCCCTCTGTAGTAAGCACAGTGCAGCTGGAGCAGTCAGGATGGTTTATTTTGTTGGTTGCACTACGTCCAGATTGAGGCACAGTGGTAGCAGCAGGGAAGGAGCAAGCTTCAATCTAAGGGGCACCCTGGGGCAGTCCTTGCTCTATGCCCATCGCTATTGCTACCAGAGCCCTGTGCTCCTGTCCCACCTCAGGTGTGAGGCCAGCACTCCTCCCATAGGACCAAAAGGTCTTGCACTTCAAATCTCAAGTTGGCTCTCCCCCAACACCATATTAGACTAGCCTTGCCCTCCCCTGTGCCACATCCCAGCTCTACCAGGCCCAGGGCAGCAGCTCAGGGTGGGAGGATGAAGGGGAGGCCTCTATCGCAGTAGTGAGGAATCACTGCAATAAATAAGG